CTACAACCTAAATTTTGACTTTTTGGACTAGAAAGGGGTAATCAGAGAAATTTGAGGGGGTGGGGATGTGTTGTTTTTGATAAATTTGCTCCCGGGCCAGGGGCAGTGGCGTAACGGAGAATAGAGGGTTCAAGTCTTGGTGTCAGGCAGGCTATGGGGCCAAATCCTGGTCTGACCCTGGGGGGGTTGGGGGGGTGTACGTTACACCACTGCGTGATGGCTGTATATTGTTTTTGAAGTAGGCCAGACCACCTAACAATCTTTCTGCCACCAGATACACTGGGGCCCGCATCTGTGTGGTCTGGCGTGGGAATTTTCTTTTTATCGTAGGGGCACTTTTTTGGGTTTAATTTCCCCACCCCCGACTCCAAACTTGCGTCAGTCTGGCGATTTAAACTTTTTATGTGATTTTTAAACATCATTCAATGGGTGTTTTAACAGGATAATGTGTGTCCCCCATTCCCGTTGAACCCAACATGCTGATGGTGTCAACGCTTTCGTTGACTTGCTACATCACCAGATTTTTTCCAATCGAGCATGAATGGGGCATCATTAAACGGTAATGACAGCCTCGTTGATATGCAACGAGAATAAACAAATCCCAGAATGACCGACCGAGAGCAACCAGCCTGCAATTCCATCCCATAAACTGATATCCGGTACAGATAATACGTACATGGCATGCATAAGTTTGCATTTAAAATTGTGGCAGCTACACCGGTTTTAATATATCATCATTTCACATTTGAAATGGTTCCTACTCGCGCTACACTAACCCGTAATCCTGAAACTTTTAATCAAAAATAAAATATGTTTGCATGTTACCACGCTGAAGTTTCATCAGTTGACAATATTTTTCTTGGTGTTGGGATTTTTTCTCCGTCAAAAATGTATCCTATATAATTAACCACGGCTGTGAACTAAAACGAAATTGTTTTTGACTTGAATAGCACATTCATTTGTTCAAAATAAAATTTTGAGCAAAAAAAATAATAATAAATAAATAAATAAATAACGTATATGAAAAAATTTTGTACAGATTGCAACAATACAGACATACTGAAAAAGATGGCTAGGGTTGCTACGCGACCTCAAATACGGGGAAATCAGGGGGTTGCATTTTCGGTTCGCGATCTTTTGTTGCAATCTTTTAATTTATAATTGAACTCATCAAGCTTGGGGGTCCCCTGGTGGCCACCGCTTAATCCAACTCTGTCTACAACAACACCTTTCCGATAAGCTAGAAAAATGGCTAACACTTTGAAGAATACATCAACACGAAAACCTTAAGGTAATCCTTTTCGCAAGGTCATATCATTTTTTGAACCTCTACCCCTTTCGACTTGTGATCAATTTATTATTAATTGGCCATTCGAATTAAAATACCTAGGACTGAATGATATTTAATGATAAATTTACCTGCAAAACCATTTTACTGAAATAGCTAAAACTACTGATATACAGCATTGCACATTGAACGACATAATAGGACGTAAATCCAAACTTTCACTAAAAAAACGGTCTCTTCATTTACACCTCTTCATTCACCACTGTTTTTTTAATGTCCGCCCTTTGAGAAGTTCAGTTGCCAACACCGAAAAACATCCAAAGCACTAAATAAAAGCACTTCGTCTTATTGAAAAGCATCTTTCTTCATACTACTTTTTTTTTTTTCTTTCGAAGAACTGAAAAATTGAACCACCCATCCTTACACACCCACTAGCTGAAAATTTCTATCACACACATAATGCCCCAAATCATTGCAAGTCAAACCCCTTTATAAATTTCGAAACCACTGTATGATTTCCTCCCATATCAAGCTCCACAAACTTACAAAAGCAATTACCTAGCGAAACTTTTGAAAGAAAAAAAATTTCTTTCTTACACACCACCATAATAACAGTTTCCTCCTCTAAGATTTACAACAAAGTACTAGTTTTTCAAACTTATTTTTTTTTCTCGCATTTGACTACGAACTTTCCTACTGTAGAAGAAATTGACCTTTTTTCGCCCTTTCCAAAAATTCATTTCAAAATATTCTCTTCCCCACCCAGGGGGAACCCCTCGCCTTCTGTCGAAATTGCATTATCCTATTCCTGCTCGAATGTCACCCCCCCCCCTCCAACATCAAGGGGGTAATTTTTTCTTTCTTTGCTTTTTTGCCGACGCTTTTTGTGCTCTTTGTGTGTGCTTTGCCCCCTCCATCTCAATTCCTCGAATCCTGCTATCAGCTTTGTTCTCGGTCAATACAAAGTATCCGCTTCGGCAATCTCGAATCTCCCAATCGATTCTAAAATAGATGGTGGTTGCCATGCCTTGCCAAAGCACATGCAGAACATTTCTCACATTATTCCCCAGCCCCTCTTGCTTTCACACACACACACAATAATACCCGGTTTCCTATCCAAAAACTGCCTTAATAACCGCATATTTATACCCACTCTTGGTATTCTTCCCCTCTCCTTCCCCTTCCATTTTAAACTTTGTTCTTTTGTTCTGGGCTGGCATTAAACCAGATGCACGCACAGAAATCCAAATGCTAGGACATCACGAACTTGATTTTCGTGTTATTGTGTTGTTTCTAATGCCATCCGATCGACGGCGTCAGATTGCAAAGGGCTAGTCTCATTAACTGCAACGTTGAGAACTCCAGCGCAAGCGCTCAGCAATGTTTTGGCTACTTTTCACCCCAATTTTGAGGGGAGTGATCCCTGACTCTCGGGTACCGGTGGAAGAGGTTGCGACTTTCCGGGCCAGCTTTAATCCTTATTTATTCCCCGAGTATTATTTTAGGAGTGTCAAGGGCGCAGCTGGAGCCGCATCAATGATACGGAGCGCCAAAGAATTTTGATACTAGATCAGCGATATCCTCAACCTGCTGGAATGCAATGTGGTTCACCGGACCTTCTCGCGTCCCCAGCCATGGTCGCCGCACCAACAAATTAAATTATTTTAAAGCACAATGCATTGGTGTACTTAGTGAAAAGTTCCCATCAATCTCATACATATCAATTTTTTATCGATACCATGATGGTACGGAAAGCTGTTAGATAGCTTCCTTTTCCTTTTGCACCTACCCGCGGTTAGTGATGCACCCGCGTAGTAGCGCCCGTTTCCTGTAAGGGAATCTACTTTAATTGAACCCATATGTCTTCTAGCAAAAAAGAAATTAAAAGAATAAATGCCGAGTTTCAAGACAATTAGATCTTGATCATTTCCTAAAAGAAAAATAAACATGGATCATCAACTTGTTTAGTTTGTCATGTGGTTATACTTAAAAATATAATTTGTTCTTATTATACCACCTTCCATGGCTCTCTTTCTATATCTTTAAAACGAGTAAAACCAAGCCTTTAAAAAGAATCTTTTGCAACAAGCAAACAAAAATATTTGGAGTGGAGAAGTGAACAATTGATGAAAAGGAAACTGAAATTATTCCATAACTGTAAAAATCCATAAAACCAATTTTTTGTAAGTTGAGTTTAATATAGTTTTAAAATACAATCCAAAAAACATAAGTTTTAATATTTTGATCAATTTTTCGCATTTTAAATGTGCTTCCTTGACCTGCAAGTGTATCCCCTAAGTTGCGGCCCGCGTGAAAAAGTTGTATTATGTATGGGAGGTTGAGTACACCTGTTCTAGATCCTCTTTGATCTTCCTATGCCAGAGAGTGTGGTCTTCATGCAAATCTTTTAGGAGAGAGAGAGAGAGAGAAATTTTGTTCCTTTGATACAGTGAGGAATGTCCAGAAAAAGCTTGTAGGTAGAATTAAGGCTACATTGAAAGACTGCAAGGACAATTTTCATAAATCACATTTTTGCAATTTACAAGTGGCAAATATACAGCAAAGTTGTACTTCAAAATATATATGTCAATGTTTTTTTTTTCCTTCATAATTTCCAAGAAAAGTATTTTAATAATAAGTAGTTAGTTGTTTGAAAGCATTGTTAATGTTCAAATTTTGAAACACAAGTAAGTATTTAGTATTATTAAGCAAGAGTTATAAAAACTAAGCAAGCCACACAGGAGTAAGAAAGTATTAATTCACTAAATATTTCAATTGATACCAAATAATAAAACATGCACAATATTATCTCTAAGTGTGCTAAAAACATAATTTTGCCACAAAAGGAATAACTGTCCAAAATTTGCGCAGAGATAATTGCACATGAATTTTTCAAACATTATGTACAATAATATGAAATAGTTCCAAGTTTTGTTATTATTTAATTTTGTATAATAGAAATAAAATGTGTGTGTGTGGAACCTATTTTCTAGTAGGAAAACAACATAATGTTAATATAAGTTTATGTATTCATAGCATTCTTATTCGTTTATTATATTATACCCTTAAAATTTAAAGACAATTTAAAGAAATAAGAATGAATTGTGAGGAATTTTTTAAGTTATGTAAAAAAGATTTTTATGACATAAAATATCCGTTGGGAATTTAGCATAGCTGAGTGGTCATGATCACGAATTCGTAGTCGGTGAGTCTTGAGTTCGAACACGGAAGATGAGCCGTGGCCGATGCCCATTAAATCTTTCGAGGCTCATAGTCCTTACGTTAGAGTGGTATGGAAGTTTGAAGAGTAGAGAGCCAGGTCAGGTGTCGTCCTCGTCACTTGACCGAGGTTCAAAATTAGGGGGCCTGTCACTAATAGCCTTCGTGTTGTCTTAGAGAGGGAGTGCTGCATTAATCAAAACAAGTAATGTAAAAGAAACTTTTTAAGTCAATTCCTACTTAGAAAAAAGAAAATTTTTATTTTAGCTACTTTTTATTAAATACTTACAATATAAATATGTATATGTATATGACAGAATCACAATATTAAGTGGCAAAATAAAAGCGATTTTCCTCGCAATTTTCTATTTTCCTTTCTATTTAGGGTGTTGGACTATTATTTTTGTATATCACCATTTTTATTCATTAATTAAATTTAATTATTCCAATAAAATAGTATAGTAAAAAGAAATCACATTCTCAGAAATTAGGCCATCCCAGGTGGGATTCGAACCCACGGCCACGGCCTTTGGATTAGAAGTCCAACGCGCTATCCATTGCGCTACAGGGACACAACAAGCGATTTTCCTTTTTATATAGGGTGTTGGACTGTTATTTTTCTTTGTTGCTATTTATTCATTAAGTTTAACTAATGAATTAATATTTGAAAGAACTGTATTAATATCAAGTGTCATCCACCACAAGTTTGAAAAAATGTATTTGAACTTGAATGGATGAATAGAAAATATTTTATTAACGATTGAAAATTTAAACAAGATATACATACACAAGTTACATATATGTATATATATATAGGGAGAGTGTGTAACGTTAGTAAAAGAGTTGAAAAATACCCCCAAGGAATGGAGTATTTAAAAAATATAGTGATGCACAAAGCAAACAAATTAGGTTTAAAAGACAGTATCCTTTGTATAAACATTACAATTACCCTATGTTGTTAATATATTTTTCAATGAAAGTTTTTTTTTAGGTAACCATTTAAATATGCATTTCCAAATACACCAAAGGAAAAAAATACTAAGTGCTAGATTATTTGTAATTTTAAAAAAAATGAGCACTACATCTTAGAGAAAGTGTAAGACATCTTTAAAAGATTACATACATTTGTTAAATAGTTGCTACTTGCTATAGTAAAAAAATAAGCAAGAGTCACAATTTTATTTATTGTGGATGAATAGCATATTTATATAAATATTTCAGTACTTTTTTTATGTTTTCAAATGCTGCTATTTGTGGTGAGATTTTTTATTTCTTTTCTGAAATGTCCCCCCCTTCTTTTGAGACCTGCGACCCATATATTTCAAATTTGGTATTTGTAAAGTTCAAAAAGAAAAGTTCATAATGAAATGAAATCTCATTAGAACATTCATTTTCTACATTTTGAAATTGTAAAGTCATTAATTATGTCTTCAAAATCAACTATTGCTAACGCTTAGTAGCGCACACAGGAATTTTTCAAGGGGGGGGGGAGGATCCAGGGTCGAAAGTCCACCATTCTTGTATCATGCTCCTTTTGATTTTGTTGATTTTGGGGAACAAAAAACAGTAAAAACTAATTATTGAATAAATAATTAGCATTGATTAATAAAATTAATCATTAATAACAAATATTTAATTAAATTTTACGTACTATATACTTAGAATTATAATCAATTAAAAAACAACGGCTTTGGGGGGTTCCGGACCCCTAGGACAACCCCCTTGTGTGCGCCACTGCTAACGCTTCATTTTACAAGCATTTATTTAACTTGCAATGTAAAATGTTCGGGTGGAATCTTGCAACTCAATTTTGAAGCTGATGTCTTCAACTGATTGAGCTGAAATTTTTTATACACATTTAGTTTGGATGATAATGCATGTGTTTTTTGACTATTTATATTCCTATATTGCAAGTAGTTAAAAAGATATCTAAAAATGTAATTTGTTCGGGTGGAATCTTGCAACTCAATTTTGAAGCTTATGCCTTCAACCGATTGAGCTGAAATTTTGTATACACGTTTAGTTTGGATGACAATACATGTTTTGATTCTTTATATTCCGATATCGCAATTAGTTAAAAAGATATTAATTAAAAAATTCTTACCCATGTTACAAACTTACTTTACCCACTTCCCCGAGCCCTCGTAGCGCAGTAGTTAAAGAAGATGACTTCAAGTGAATTGCCCCGGGTTCAATTCCAGGAAGCTCGCAGTTTTTAAATTTACTTTAAATCACTTTAATTTTCCTTGGAAAATTATTTCTCTTGATCAAATTTAAATTTCCACGTTCTTTCCTGTTTTTTTGCAAGCTTTTATTTAACTTGCAATGTAAAATGTTCGGGTGGGATCTTGCAACTCAGTTTAGAAGCTGATGCCCTCAACCGATGGAGCTGAAATTGTCATGAGAAAAAAAATGTCATTTCGAAATATTTTTCATAACATTTAAATATAATCATATGTAATCTCATTTGGAAATATATTTATATATTAAAATAATATTACAAATATTACTATCTCTCTTTACATCAAAAAAGAAGAAAACATTGAAATAGCTCACTTATTACTGACCTAATTCACAAACTTTAAATAGTAATTTTTCTTGATTTATGAAAAAAGAGAAAAAAAATCTGAAACCCCACATCTGTTATATTGATTCAACATGATGATTCAGAAAAACGGAATCAAAATGTACAATAAACAAGACAAATGAACCACAATTTTTTTAATTCTGGGAACAGTAATGAAGGTTGTGCAATGTCTCGTTCCGAAAAAGAAGCTCTGTTATGAAAAAAAATTTCTCGTCAACAATATTATTTCGATTTAATCTAAAAATAAAATTTTTTAATCCATTTCTCTTAACTATATAACTTTGGATACGTATATACAAAATAATTTCACTGAAATCAGAATTACCTATTTTTTTTTTTTAACTCAGTAGTCCTTTCAGTTATAAAAATTACTCATTTATGTGAATCTATTTATAACACATTTAACACATATTTTTACAGAGATGTACCTTACAGAAAGCACTACTGTATTTGTATATTATTTTAAGTCTTAAAAAAATACAAAATAATTCGAAATTAAAAACATAATTACCTCTGTTGCTATTTCAGACGAGCTAAATCTAAAAGATTCAGTGGAGCCAATTTTTTGAACTAGAGTCTGTTGATGGTAGAGATCAGAAGAGCTTGTTTTAACTTCAAGTAACTACTCAAGAGTAAAATAAACATCTGTAGCTCCCTATCTTCAACAAACTTTTATTGCCTCTGTCTCCTCTTTAGTTACGCCTAAGCTGAACATCATTGGGAGCTGGAACGCGAAGTGTTCCTCCGTCCCATACTGGGTGTATTGGGCTCTTATCATCGTTGGGGTACGATTCGGAACGTTGAGTGGCCTGAATGGAAACAGAGTGCCCTGATTGGTGGATATGGAAGGAAAAAGTGGGAGGGTCCTCTTTAGTTAACTGGTGCCGGATATTTTATGGGTGTCCGGAATGTCCGTTATGACCCCAGTCCGAGAAGGGGAAAGGTTACAGGAGTTGGTATAAACATATCAAATTTCATGATTTAACATATACTGC